TTGGATATGGACGGTAAGGAGAATAACGCTGGAGTTGGAAGAGGTGTGTCGCGATTCTGTAGGTTCGTGGATCTGAGTCGTGTGGCGAATCGCGATTTCGGTTTCATATTGCATATCGTTACAGCCCAAAAGTTAAGTTCTACTTAGTTATTTTGGTGAAAGTAACTCAAAAGTAATACATGAGTAATGTAACGCATTACAATTCTGGGACAGTAATATTGTAAGGTAATGAATTACTTTTAAATAACAGTAACAAGTAATACCTAATGTATTACAGTTTTGAAGTAACTTGCACAACACTGGTGAACACACACTTCTTCGTGGAGACCGATGATGAGGAGACATATGACTGAGTATAATTGGAGATCATGGGAGTTTCACAGGGAGATTGTTGGTGTATCATAAGGAGATTTCTCTGGTAAGGAGTCTAAACCAGATTGGAGACCAGACATGAATATAAAGATTATATATATATATATATATATATATATATATATGAAGAGTTCAGATGCAAAAGCCTCTAAGTGCCATTTGAAATTTTCTTCTAGAATGATCATTTTTATCAAGCTTGTATATTTAAGTTCAGTGATTTCTCTTAAATGGCAATGATAATAACCTATTAATTGTTATTTAAGTGAAATTACTAAACTTAAATATACAATTTTGATAAAAATCATCATTAAAGAAGAAAATTTCAAATGGCATTTAGAGGCTTTTGCATCTGAACTCTTCATATATATATATATATATATATATATATATAATGATTGATATTTGGCATCCATATGCTGCAAATTCATATTGCTACAGGAGTTATTTAGAGGATACTGATTTTGTTTTAACAAATCACATTTGAAATGTTTTTAAATATTATAAAATATTTAGATAAATTGTAGTTTTTCGACACCCAAAACTGAAAACTCTGACCTATATATATAATCTTGTGTATAATCTTGTTTTGCCACAGTGTTTGGGAATATGTCCTCAAAATATTGGTGATGTTTGAGTGACTGACTGTACCTGAAAAGATGAGGTTTGGAGTTGGATTGATCTGAAATGTCCTCAATGTCTCTCCTCCTAGCATCAGCTTTTTAAAAAATGTGTATAGATGTACTGCATGCTAGCACAGATTTTGTTCTGCTTCTATATTGAGAATATTAGATCCTGAGCTTGCTGAGGCATGAGTGAGCAGCTGCAATGTGTTTTCCTGCGTGTGTGTGTGTGTGTGTGTGTTGGGGGGGTTATTTTTGAGAGCAGGGCATCACTTTGCTTCAGCTTACCATTTTCTCAGTAATTTGACTGAGGAAGGTGCAATGTTGGAGCCGAACATCTCTTTTACTCTGAACTAGATTTTTAAGTTCTTTTGGCTGACTTCATGACATATGTAGTTTATCAGCATTTGTCTTAATCTATATCCTGCATCTTTTTCCAGGCTACCTGTTTATTTAGATGGGGGTCTGACTCTGTAGGTGATGTGGGATTTCATTAAAGCTGTAGCGCAAAGCCCGGTTGCACACTGGTAGCATGGACTGCATTAGCTTTGTTACTGTGAGTATACAAAAACACTCTGTTTGCCAGTGAGTCTCTGTCCAAGACCAAAGAACAGCTCCAACATCCACATCTAACTCATCTAATTGGTCTGCCATGACTACAAATGACTATGTTGACCTTGAAGTGATTTTCCATCTCATAGGCACGTGCACTCTGCTATCTCTTCCTCTCTTCACACACATACTTTCTATTTTCAGGCCTGTGCTCAGTTCATTTTGTGATTGCCACATGGATCTCCTGGGGCTTCCTGCTGATCCACTGTGCACAAGGTGTGGATGTGCATTGTGATTTTTAAATGTTGGTAGAGATACTTGTGATAATAGTAAGCCACACACAGCTACAGATTGGTAACATATACTTTAAAATATGATTCAAAAATAACCTTAATTTGATCCAAGTGTAATACGCTCAGAGTAAAAAAACTTCTATGCAGAACCCTCATTCTGGCCATATGTCTGAAATGATCAGTTTTTTCAGATCGGCTTCTTTATGATTGGCTAACATAACTTGCATAGAACAAAAACTGCCAATTTAATGCCCACTGGTTATTGCACGCGAGTAAGTGTTTTAAAAACATTATCCATATTATTGATCATCTACGTGCAGACAAAGCATCATCTTTAACAGATAAAGCATTTTGAAGTAATTTACTTACGGTTTGTGATGCAGCTGCTGTCAGATCCAGTGCTCTTGTATTCTTGTGCTTTATCGTTTAACAATCTCTCAATTGCACTGCCTTGTTTACAAAACAAAATGCTCAGAGCAAACATATAATCCAAAAGATAGAGGCAAATTTGATTTATCATGTCATGAATATTCTTGGTTCAGTGCAATTTACTGTACGTTCACACTGCTGCCGACTTGAGCGTCAAAGAAGCTCTGGCCACCCTGTCAAGGACGCTTGTCAAAAAGTACGGGGAAGCTTGTTGACGCTTTGGACGCTTTGAACGCTCTGACGTTGCAGGGAGAATAGGAAGTGTCACAACATGAAATGTAATAAACAGAAAAAAAAAAAACAAGCAATACATTGAAGAAACCATTCATAATGACAGCATTTTTATAACCGTTTTGGTCACATTTGGTCGGGGAAAAAATAGTTATTAATTGCATTCTCACTTTAAAACGAGCGTTCGTAAATATTTCAAATAAAAGTTGTGCTCATGCGATCCCTATAAGCAAACAATGTCATGTCCTCAATTATACGAAACCAGTAGGAAACATAGCAACGGCGATGATTAGCTTCTCTTCCATTTACTCGGAACTAATGTTTTGGTAGGAACGAAAGTTACATTGTATGTTTCTACGGAATCAGCCAGCGTGAAGGACGTCTATATTCCGATTGGTTGCTGGCGTTTTGCTGCTGCTTGCCGCCGCTGAACCACGTCACAGCTCATTACCATAAAGTTGAGCTACTTTCAGCTTTCTGATTGACGCTCAAAACGCCAAAACGCGACGCCGATGGATTTGACGCTCATTGCAGCTGAAAAAAGCCAGCTTCCATTGAAAATGAATGACTTCCAGCTACTTTGGATGCTCAAGTCAGCGGTGGTGTGAACCAGTTATGCTCACTTGACAGAATTAGTGGCATCATGTCGATTATCGAAAAAAAAAAAAAAAATTTTTACATGGCCATCATTTCTCAAAAAAAAAGAAAATTGAGATTATGGCGATCAATTTACAAAAGAAGTTAAAATGGAAGCAAATTTTAAGGCATTTAAATGCAGAAAGGTAATGCTTATAATCTTAAGATTTTAAAATGTTAAATTGCACATCAAATTTCCATCCAATTGGATTAAACAGTTTTAACATGAAACTAATGTTAATGTGATGCATATTTGTCAGTTATATATATATATATATATATATATAATCATCAAAAAATCCAACTTGTTTCAATCTCATTTTAACTAGATAAATATTGCTTGTTCCACAGCTAGCCATATTTTAACAATGGTCGTAACTGAATAATTTAAATGTTAAGACTAACATTATAATAGACTATACCATGATATGCGTGCACTGCAGACATTGTATCTGTTCCTTGCCCGTTTCATTTAGATATGACTGACAAATATGTATTAGTTTGTTTCCTTATGTTCTTATATGTCCATTCTTTATGTTTATGTTTAATTTCGGCTTACATAGGCCTATTTGTGTAAGTGAGTGTATTGTTTAAGCTGTATAGTTCTTTAAATCATAAGTTAACAGTTGTTTTACAGTGTATATCATTGCATTGTCTAGTGATGAAGTTGTAAAATTGCATATGATGTTACATAGAAAAGGTTAGTTGCACAATTTATTTGCACACTAAAATGAAGTTACAACATGCATATTGTTAATTTCTTGTAGATGTGCTATTGAACCAATGAGTCATTAAACTTTTATAGATGGACCTCATTTACTTCCATTTCAAGTGCCCAACTGTAACCCAGACTCCTGCTTATTTTTTTAGGAAAATGAGGGACAATTGGAGATTAGTGTATTTATTTATTTTCTTGGGTTATCAATATTATGCCAGGAATGCTGTCGATTGTCATGGACCTGAAATTCTTCAAAACGTCATATGGATCCTCTGTGTAAGTACATTTCTGCAGTGGTGGGCCACATGGTGTGATGTTACAGGGGTTTCTGTACGCGAGCACTGGACCGCAGCCTCTCCAGTTACAGTGAGCTGCGTTTAAGATGTTAACTGGTTAGGTTACTAAAGAAGAGCACAGCCAGCCAGTGTTTGCATGTCTCTCGGTCATTAATTTCTAAAGAGGTGGAAGAAAAGACTCTTTTAGGCTGTTCGGTTGCAGTGTCACAACCTGAGGCGGCATCATGTTTATGAGAAACATTTAACATTATAGTCGTTTACGGTATGATAAACATTTAACTTAAGCACATTACGCACATACATTGTGTTTTCATTTTGTTTGTGTAAAACTGTGTGTACAGTACTTTTTATTTGACTGAACTATTTGACTATTTGAACCCCCACTCCCCCCCCCCCCTCAGATAGATAGATAGATAGATAGATAGATAGATAGATAGATAGATAGATAGATAGATAGATAGATAGATAGATAGATAGATAGATAGATAGATAGTAATTTTTGGGCCATTAAGATTTGTTTGCATTGTGATTTTATACAGTATGGAAGGTAATAAAGTGCCCTATATACATGTTTTAAATAGGATTATGATGCACAATTACTTTTCAGTTTAAATTTATTTGTAGGAATAATTGCCTTGCAATATATTGTAATGACTTGGACATGTTTTAAAAATATATGTTATTCCCCATTATATAATTCTGCCAGACAACGCTGAGTTCACATCGAGATTTACCTGCCCTCACCTTTACTGACCAGGCAAACGAGATTAGTGCCGAGAGAGAGAGAGAGAGAGAGAGAGAGAGAGAGAGAGAGAGAGAGAGAGAGGGGGGGGGTTGAATGAGGGCTGTGTGAGGTGGGTTGCACTTTCATTGGAGCTGATATGGTACTTTTTTACCGTTGCTTGAGGACTAACAAACAACGTCCTGAATCTGACCTGCTGTTGGACTTTAAGCGCTTAATGAGAATCAGTAAGAAGTAAAATCACCGGGGCTCTTGCTGTCCGTCCTCGTCAGAGAAAAAGACACACACACACACACACACACACACGTACAGAGACTGATGCGGGATTCGCAGCGTGAGTCTGTCCGGAGAGACTCTGCCTGGATTCTTACCCGACATGGTGGCTTAACGTTTGAGTGATACGGAGACCATCCGGTAAATTCCTGACAGGAGGAATGAATGATTTCACGCGGGACGCGCGTGAGTGAAAACGCTCGCGTAACTGTTGCTGTGAACGGACGTCTGCAGGAAAATGAGGAGAGGAAATAACTGAAATAAACTGCGTGAGTAAGCATCATTAAGATGATTTAAATAATTAATAATATGCTATTATGGTCAAAGAGCGTTTTTGAGTATCGTTTGGCGAGTTTTGTTTCTCTTGGTCTTATAAAGTCAATTTGTAATCTGTCTCTGTTACATTACAAAAAATAACGCATTGAAAGAGGTCCAACTGAGACCACATTTCTTTTATTCATTTATCATCACTCCTCTGCATCTGTAGCCAATTGAAGGCTACATCTGTTGAAAAACAATTTTCTGTTAATTGTTTTATTAATTCAAGACAAAATGAAATCAAATGCCAGTCAAATGCGTCTGCACGTGATATTGAGGATGGTAAGCCTACGTGAAATTATGGTTTAAACTTTCCCGTTGAATTCACTATCAGCCACGTACATCTTTTAACTCGCTTGTTTCCATTTTTATGATTGCAAAGACAGCACCGATCTTCATCTGTAGTGGTTAATTCACGCCAGTAGTATGCTAGTGCTGTATGTGTTTGTTTTAGTAATATGTCATATCCTCTGTCAACACTGCAGGTGTAACCTATTGAAAGGCGCGCCTCCATCGTTAATTCGCGAGAAACCAGTTTATTATGTAGGCTAGTAAATTGTTTAAACAATTTAAAGCTTATATTATTGTTTTAAATAATTTAAATGCAATTTTCATTCTGACATGAGCATAAGTTGATGTCAGACTTTGTGAGTTGTCTTTATAATAAAAAATAAAAAAAACAACAAAACTTGCACATTTTCATGCGTTTAGGTTGATTTTTTGCACTTGGACATCATAGATGGACATTTTCGCTGTTGACATGATCAGCCAATCATAGTAGGGAAATGTTTTCTTTGACTTGTATTTCACCACATTCATTTGCGTTTACAGTTGCTACTGACCTTTTCCACACAATTGACTTTATTACTTTCCTTTTTCGCAGAATTGATCTATTAAAAGACTTACTTTTGTTGACTTAACTAATGCATCTGTTGGTGTAATGAATAGATCAGTGAGACTGGTGCTCAGTTGGCATCTTTGTGCAGCTGACACCATTGATCTGGAGAGATTGTGTGGTGTGTGTGTGTGTGTGTGTGTGTGTGTTAGGAGGAGGACTGGGTTGATCTCATGAGTAAACGTATATGTTTCAGTTTCAGTTAACAGAAGATTCATTAGTCAGAGATGAAGTGGCCATCCTTTTTTTTTTATAAGGAGATCAAGATGAATGCTTTGCCATAAAGATAATTAAGGAGCTTTGAGATAAGTCAAAAGTTTCATGCACTGTGATAATAGGCCTATTTATATCTTGTAATTATAAAATGCTTTGACATTGTGATTCCCCTCTGGCTTGTTATTTGAAATGTATCTCTCGTTCACAACTGTAGTTCTTGTTGGGTGATAACAGTTGATACACACATATGACTGATCTTTTTAATAGTCATTTTGTTTGTTGATTCTAATTTCAACATGTCATCCAAACAGACCCCTTAAATTCGATTCAACCTTACAATTGTGTTCAAAAGTTTGGGGTCAGTAAGATTTTTATTTACTTATTTATTTATTTTTATTTTGAAAAATGTCTCTTATGCGCACCAAGGCTGCAATTATTTATTTTTTAATTAAAATGGGCCATTTCATATTGTGAAATATTGTTACATTTGAATATATATATATATATATATATATATATATATATATATATATATTAAATATTATTTAAAATATATTTTAGTCCTGTGATGGCAAAGTTTAATTTTTATGTTCCTTCAGAAATCATTTTAATATCCTGATTTCCTGCCTAAGAAACATTTCTTGTCATTATCAATTTTGAAAACAATTGTGCTGCTTAATATTTGTGTGGAAACTTTAAAAAAATGCTGTTGAAAGTGCACCGGACATAGCAACACAACAAACTGAGTTAAGAGTGAGACATTACAAAAGAGAAATGCTCACAGGAATATCAATGGAAAAGAAGAGGATATGATCAAACAAGCGATTTAGGAGCCGTGCTAATATTAGAAAAGCTTTCCAACGCTGGAGAGACGTAAGTGGGAAGGCCTGAAAACGGACACGTGTTCGTGCATTTTGGGGGTGGAGCAATGAAGGGAGGAGCATGTATGTTTGGGTTGATTTCAAAAATCAACGTGTTCAACAACGATTTTAAAAAGTCGCATAATGAACCTTCAACTTAATTATTCAAATCATTGCTAAGGTGATACACCAGTGGGATTTCTCATTGTGATGCTTTGCCAAGCATGTCGATTTAGTTCAGTTACACATTTATGTATTTTTAAAAATGTTTTCTACTTGACAGAAAAACATGAACTTTTTAACTTAATTTTAACCAGTTTGATGCAGTTTCCATGGTTTGTGAAACTATCTCTGGTGGTAGTCGCACTGAAAGTATTATGAGCAGCATCAAACTGCTGTAAGCAGTTTCCCACTTCGGGCCTTCTGACCAGTGAAGCGCAACAAATAGGAGCCATACAATGACATAGTTTAAAGGGCCCTAAGGCAATTACTTGGAGTTCAGAGTCTTAGACATGCACCTGACCTTCATCCGCCTTGTGTCGAAGTTGACCTCTTTCCTTTTAATGCCCATAATACAGCTTCAGAGGTCTTAGAACTGACCAGAGGTCTTATGACCTACTGTAAGGGGAGAAAAATATTATGACGGTTATGCTGTGCGTGAAGTAGCGAGGATTTCATTATGCTCCTTGCGGTAATATGGAATATCAGACTGTGTGGTATCATGATTCAGGCATGACTGTATTCATATGCACTGTGGACACCTTAGAGAACACATTTCAGCATTAGCCGTGGGTAGTGATGCCTGAAATGATTTCCATTCACACACATGCACACATCCACGCAGACAGAGATGGAAGGACTGAAAAACTGTGAGGCAGAGATAGTGAGCGAGAACAGCTGGAGAGAGAAATAGATGGACAGGCGCACTGGAAGTAAGGTAGCATCTTGGGACTGAGGGAAAGATTTTAAGGAATACCTCAACCAAAATTGTTCTCTTGTCTTTACTCTACTATTGTCTTCATTTACTCACACTCATGTTGTTACAAACCTAGTGGTCGACAGATACTGGTTTTGTGATTGCCGATGCCGATATCTTAGAGAGCAGATGGGCGCTGACCATTGGAAAGCCTATATATATAATTTATATTTATTTGAATTAATATTTAATATTTAACAATTTCCATATTTTTCAAAAATAAAGAAATTGTTGGAAAAAAATATGAATAAACAGGAAGTAAACGCTGTAACCTGCAGGGTGCTCAGTAAGTTTGTGCACACTAGGAATATATATCCATATATATATATATATATATATATATATTTTTTTTTTTTATTTTTTTTTTTTTATTATTTTTTTTTAAATAAAGACAAGGTAACTAAACTTACAGCACAGTGAAAATGACATGGGCAACTGAATATAGAGCAGCATCGTTTGAAATCAGAGGTTTAAAGATGCTCAGCGGTGTCAAAATAATTTTTTATTTCAGGTCTACACCACCCTTTTCAATTCTATCGAAATTTCATTCGAGAGAAATAGAATTAGAGAAATAGAATTCGAGCTCGGTCAGATCGATTGAGGTGTTTACATGAATGCTTTTCATCAGACAGAGCCATCAAGGCAATTATAAAAAAACATTCGTGTATTCGAGTGCATGTAAATGTAGCTAATGGGATGAACTTGAGAATTAGATCAGTCTGAATCTTGATTGAATCATTCAAACTGTTTTCGATTCATCAAAAAGATCTGAGAATGATTCATAAATTTGACATCTACAGTATTTCTCCAGGGAAGAGAGAGAAAAAAAACTGATAAAATGTGTACCCTTGGATAAAAGCATCTGCCTTGGTATACCAAGTAGAGCTAATGCACTATTTCAGTTTATGCATTTGGCAGATCCTTTTATCCAAAAGTATACATTTTATGAGTTTTTCTCTGCCTTATCTGGTAATCAAACCCATGACCTTGGTGTTTCTAGCACCATGCTGTAATGTTTGAGCTACAGGATGGCATACTGTATAGCTTCAGAAGACTTGGGATTATTGCACATGAGTCATATGGACCACTTTCATTGTTTTTCATGGTGTCTTTGCATCCTTTTTTAAAACTTGAAAGCCCCAGTCCCGCTTTCCTTGAGTTCCATGGAAGAAAATAATGTCAAATGGGTGATTAAATAATGGAAACATTTTTATAATTAGGTGAGCTATTCCTTTAAAAAGAAGCAGGATAGGAAGTTTCCACAATGTAGGTGTAGGTGATGAACATTCAGTAGGTTGGCTGCTTTGCCAACTGTATAAATATAATCCCAATGATATTCTCCTCTCTTCCCTGTACATGGTCTCTGATGTGTGAAGGCAAGGCTGGATTTCTCCAGCATACATCTTTACCTCAGTCAGGCTCTCTCAGCTGTCTGATTCATCTGTAATCAGCTTCTGCCCACCGGGAGTCCCGTGGGATGACAACAGCAGGGCAGACTACGAAAGCCAGAGGTTTAGTGCTCAGACAGAAAGGGAGCAGTTCGAGAGGTCGGGAATCCAGACTCCAGGGCATTAAAGAGTGTTAATGTATTTGGTTGAGATGCTATAGTTTGCAGAGCCAGACAGGGGTTAAGAGAGCTGTTTAGAGGAGAACTGGAACAAGATGAGTGTATTATGGTGTAGACACTAGAGCTGCTGCAGAGAATGGTTGAGGTCTGAGGGGGTGAGAGAGTGAGACTGATGTTTTGGCAGATGGGATCATCTCAGGTACAGATGCTGTTTGGAGGGCTTCAGTAGAGCAGTGTGAAGGATATCAGATGGTCTGTAAATGCCTCTCTATAGACTCAACATGTTAAACAGCAGAAATGAGCTTAACAAGATGGTAATCACTAATGCAAAACGTGACTCCAAAAAAGTCCAAAATACTTTTTTCTTCTATTTGAATTCAGTCTCTTCATTACAATTCATATAATCAGCAATTTGAGTAAAGGCTGCTTTGAAAAAT